CCCCTGAGAAATCGCCCAGCCTATACAATCTTGCCCAGGGCCCGCCCCCTCTGAGCGGCCCACAGCGAGCTCCGCCCCTTACCCCGCCCCCGAGAAGGCTCCTAACAACAGAGCCCCGCCCCCTGATAGCTCCAACTCTAGCCCCGCCCAGGCCCCGCCCCAGAACTATCCCCCGGAAAGGCCCCGCCCCATCTCTAGGTCCCGCCCCGCGGAGGCCGTGGAGCTCTAGCCAACCTTTGGCTCGGGAATAGGAGTGGAAGGCGGGCTTCTGGGCGCGGCTTCCCAAAGTGGGACCCTGTGGGATCCTTTGCGGTCCCCGCAAAACCCATTGTACTTTTCAGCCCTGGCTGCATGGACATAGAGACTTCGGAGTAAAACAGCCTTGGCCCGTGTAGACACGGACCATGTCTGTTTTTTGTTCAATACAGAATCCCTATCGCCTAGAACAAGGCTTGCTACGCTGATAGATGTGACTATACATATTCTTAAAAAAAATGATGGTTGCAGAACATCATGAATGCAAACGCACTCAGTTGTGTGTTTAGAAACGGTTCAAATGGCAAAGCTGTAAATACCTTACCCCAAAAGTATTTTAAAAATTTTATTACTGTGATATGCAAAGAATGCCCACAAGTATGTAGTCCTTTGTCAAATAGGAGCTGTAAAGTTGACGTTCTATGTCAAACCTCCTGAAGTTCGGCTTCGATTTCTTGTCAGTTGCGTCCGGTGTTACTGTCAGATTCTCCGGCAGAGCTGGTAGACAGCTTGTGGGACACAGCTGCAGAACTGCCCTGGGACTGGTTCAGCTTTCTTCTGCTATTCAGAGTTCCCCTCACGTTGCTGGATAAAGTTTCCTTTTCCTTCCCTTAGCAAGAATACAGGTTCCTGCATTTTAGGTCCCAGTGTTGGGTTCTCTGTCTTCCAAGTGAAAACTAGAAAAGAATTCCACAACTGGACGGAAATTTAGTTTGCATACTTTGCTCCTGGCTGAGCTGGAACCAGAATCCTTGAGTTTGTTCTCCGTTTTTTGTTTTTCGTTTTTTGAGACAGGGTCTGGCTGTGCAGTTCAGGCTGGCCTTGAGCTCACTTTATAGCCGAGGCTTGTCTTGAACTCAAAATGATCCTCCTGCCTCAGCCTCCTGAGTGCTGGGATTGCAGGCGTGTGCCACCACGCCCGGCTCTTTTCATTTTCTGAAAGACCGGTTTACTCCATCAGGATTAAAAAATACTTGGATATAGCCTTCTCTTATTCCTAATATTATGCTTTTCTTTTTATATTAGATTTAATTTTTTATATTTAACTTGATTATTGTATTACTTATTTTTCATTCCTTTTCCAAAAATCTTTGGATTTATATGTTACTTCTGGTTGTCTGTTTGCAATTACTAGATTATGTATTATTTTTCATTATTCTACTCCATCTGCTTTTTTATTCATTTGATTTTCTTCCTAATGTGTTTTTTTTTTTTTTTTTCTTTGTCTTTTTGAGACAGGGTCTCGCTATGCAGTTCAGGCCAGCCTTGAGCTCACTTTGTAGCCCAGGCTGGTCTTGAACTCGAAACGATCCTCCTGCCTCAGCCTCCCGAGTGCTGGGATTACAGGCGTGTGCCACCACGCCTGGCTCTTCCTAATGTGTTTAATTGGACAGGTGGTTTAAAATTTTTATCATTCTCTTTTAATCATGAAATTGTAGAAGTCTATTAATTCATCTTTATATCACAGCTTACATTCAGAAAGTCCGAGGTTTTTGCTCTTTTCTATTTCTTCTTTGACTTAGGGAGGGATTATCTACGACTCCCCTTCATACCTGCAATGACCAGCCTCAGTGATGACCTCCTAACACCACGTATGTTATATCACTCTCATGATTCATAGTCACTAGGAGTGCGTGAGGCTTCTGGGGGACATTTTTCGGCGTAACCGTGACACCACCTTCTCCATTTGTCCCCGTGATTGCTGTTTCTAGCTGGTTTTTGTTCGCTCAGCTGAGGTGCTGTTGGATTGAATCAGACCATTATGAAAAAGGCTCTCCGTCAATAAGCTGTGGACATACCCAAGGAAGGAAAAGAACTTTAGGGTGATTTGTTACTGTAGCATTGCTCAGCTCCCTCTGACTGATACAGTGATGTCTGGAGAAGTGTCTGACAAAAGCTAGTGAGTTTGCCCTCAGAAAACTGCGTAAAATCTATATAGAATGTGGTAATTTGTCTAGTTTAGTTGTCAAGCATAAGATCACTTGTAAATGTGTTCCTGGACTATCCAGAGACTGTGAGGGAGTCAAGCCGTCTGTCCCAGGGCAGAAATTAGTGGTATCTTCAAAGGATGCAGTTACTGGGGCCACTGAGACCAAATATTCAATTATCAAGAGTTTTGTTTTTTACCCATAAAACAGTGACACTCTGGGGGATGATCTTTAGCACTCATTTTTTTTTCACTCAAGAAATATTTATTGGATAACGACTATGTTCTCATTACTATTTTTAGTAATGAGGCACTAACTGTGGATAAACACAAGTCCCGCTCAAAGGGACGTTCTCTGTGTGAAGTGAGAAGCTATGCTCCAGACAGACACTGGTGTGATAACAACAGCACCAGCAGCTCAAAGTCTCTGACAAGACTATTCTCGCTTATTGTCTTAAAAGCTACTCTGAGCATTTTTAAATCAACATTTGTGGCATAGCCCATTCCACAAATATGTGTGTATCTATGGACAAGACGGGAAAATAGCCTGGAAAAACAGCATTTCCATCTTATGCTCCAACTCTCCATTTTAACTAAGAAATGTTACAAGCTTGCGCTTTCTCTTAGGATCAGAATGAGTCTTGAGGGTTTTAGTAAAAGAAATTTAAAGAATCTCCTTTAGACTTTTGGTTTTTTTTTCTTACATTGTAACTGCTTAAATTAGCAAAAATAAAAAGTTAGTGAATAGAGATGAAACTTTCAAAAAAAAATTTGAGATAAAACCATCCTGTCAAATGCGTTATTCTAAAAGACAGAAGGAAAGTCTGCATTTGAGGAGAGGAAACAGAGGAGGAAGAAGCTGCAGATAGGATTTTAACTATACAGAGACAACTTTTATATTAGACATTTGTGATATGTTAAAATAAATGATAAGGGCTGGGGATTTAGCTCAGCGGCACAGCGCCTGCCTGGCAAGTGTGAGGTCTTGAGTTCAATTCCCAGTACTGGAAAGAAAACCAAAAAAAAAAGATAAATGATCATATTCTTTTTTTAAAAAAGAAACTTATTACACAGAAAATTGCATGCTTGTGAGTATCTGTGAGCTGGGGTTATTTGCTTGAGGGTAAAAAAGGATGTCAGAAGGTCTGCTCTAAGTTTGTTATTAAAGTTATTTTTGTTCACAAATGAAGTCACGCTTTTATAAGTAAACCATATTTTCCAGGTTACTCTATCCAGCTGGGAGGGCAAAATAGAGTAATAAAAATAATTTTTTAAAAAGAAAAAAATTATCTAGCTCTTCCATACATATCTGAAATAATATAATTCAGTTTGAATTTGTTCAGGGAAGTGATGGTGAATATATCTCATGCAGTCATTTCTTGTTTGT